ATATATAACTTTATTCAGCATTACTTGTCTTGTTGACTGAATATCTTAAAAATTTGATTTTGGTTTTTATCTAATATGATGACACAATGTAAGAAACTAAGATCTGGTTATGTGGCTTTATAAACAATGTACTGTAATTTGCAGGGCCCAAATATTAATTTTTTTCTTGGGACTAAATAATTTTCCAACCCTTTTTACGTAAATAGGATTTTTAATATAGAGATTGTGAGACTGTATGGCCAGAGTTATCATCATTTTTTTGTATTTTTGACACAGCCATCTTGAATCACACACTGCAAAAGTTTGTACTTTTAATGATAACCGTCTGTCTGCAAGTTTTGTTAAAAATCTTCCGGTGGTTCACAGTATATTTTAGTAACAGACAGGCCCATGAATAGATATGGACACACGCATGGTCTAGTACACCTATCTGTATGGGGGCATTGCACTGACAATTATTTCTACAGCCTAACCCTGACCCCTTACCCTAACCTGTCAGGTTAGGATAAGGGTATGGGTGTATGCCAGCTATTGTCCCTWTATAATAGGCAGTACCTGTCCGCACGCAAACACACACCTTCAAAACAGTATTGTTTATTTTTGCCTCTCATTGGCAGTTGGTAACTAGTCCTCTCTTTCAGTTTTTAGAACATCAGTTCATAAGGAGTTGCCATTTTCTATTTCTTAAACAAAAGGGTTACATGACATAACTATAGACACAAAACTACAAATAAATAAAACTATACTTACTTACTTAAATAGACATTTCTRCCTGTATGTTTTGTTGCCAGTGGATGAATCAAAATAATAGTTCACAAATGACCTAGCGTGTGACTTGTCAGTCTGCTGCATTGACCTTAAAAAGAAAGAAACTTCCCTGATTTGAAGTAGCACAGATAATAGATGTGGTACATTACAGAGGAGTCGGGTGAGTTACTGAGCCCTCACTAAACAAACACACAAACCACATTTGACWAAAGCTTTTTCCAGCCTGTGCTGCTTGCCAAGACAAATTTACACCAATCTGTCACAGAATAGTTTTAATGATGACTTTTAAACTGACCTGCATGAGCCTGCTTGTAGATATCCTAATCAGGCTCTTTTAYTGAGACATTTGCTCATTCAAATACAGCGTGGTTCTTGATAGACTATTATGGGTTCTGTTTGGCTATTCTGATCTTTAGAAATCAGGACAACTGATGGATGATATACAACACCATTTTAAAAATAATAGCCTATGGGCTTATTTGATCTAAACAAACATATTTAGCAACATTCAAAAGGACTTGGACATCTAAAACATGTATAGAAGAGMATTCTTGCTTAAAAATATAGGTAGTTTTAGTTGCTGTTGCACCTATATTTTCCTACCACCTTAAATGAATTGTCATGATCATTATCASGCTTTTTAAAAAATGGCAAATACTGTCCATTTAAATCGGTCAGTTAAATAAGCTGTATATTTCTAATWCTTGAGAGCTTGTTGCTTTGACTTCTTGTGAAAAAGGCAGGCAGTGATRAAGTGTTACAGTGAAATGGATGGATGTAGAGACAGCAAAATTATTAATYAAGTATTTGAATATACATGTGCTAAATTAGTGATGCCCAGCTTTCTTTTCCAATTTCCTGGAAGGCTTTGGTTTGGACAACAATAAAAGCATCCATCCATCCATCCATTTTCTGTACACGCTTCTTCCTTTCAGGGYCACTGGTGCCCATAGCCAGCAGTGACAGTGCGAGGGGCGGGGTACACCCTGGACAGGTCGCAAGTCCATCACAGGGCCACACATAGAGACAAACGAGACAAACAACCATTCACTCTCTCACTCACATCTAGGGACAATTTAGAGTTATCAATTAACCTAACAGTCATGTTTTTGGTCTGTGGGAGGAAGCCGGAGTGTCTGGAGAGAACCCACGCATGCACGGAAAGAACATGCAAACTCTACCCAGAAAGGTTCCTGGACTGGGATTTGAACCGGTGACCTTCTTGCTGAGAAGCATCAGCTCTACCAACTGAGCCACCGTGCCGCCACAATAAAAGCAGTTGCCTCTATTTCCTAAGAGTGTGCTTTTTGCATGGAAATATGCTAGCACAAAATAGCATAATTTGTTAGTATTTATTCCAGCAAAATTGTAACGTTGTATCCTGGAGCTGTGAGGAAAGGTCATTTATTCAGATATATGCAAGTCATTTGTTCAGTCTTAACTTGTTGTCCTGTAGCTGGTGGGTTGCCAGTTTGATACCCCATTTCAGCTGTGTCAGTCATTGTGACCTTGGGAAACACACTTCACCCGCCTTGCCTACTAATGGTGATCACTAATCAGCTGCCATGATCACTAACGGTTGCCACCCGTGCATGGCAGCCCCGCCTCTGTCAGTGTGGCTGCACAGGGGTTAGACACTGAAACTGAAACACCTGGTTTTAACCCAAACAAACCCCTTTCAGACAGCTTCCTCTTGCGTCCACAGTTAATCCTGTTGGATGTAGTTCATCCTTCTTGGTGGTATGTTGACATTACCCTGGATATTGTGGCTCTTGATACATCACAAAGACATGCTGTCTTGGTCACAGATGCTCCAGCGAGACGTGAACTAACAATTTGTCCTCTTTTGAACTCTGGTATGTCACCCATAATGTTGTGTGCATTGCAATWTTTTGAACAAAACTGTGCTCTTACCCTGCTAAATGAACCTTCACACTCTGCTCTTACTGGTGCATTGTACAATTAATGAAGATTGGCCACCAGGCTGGTCCAGTTTAGCCATGAAACCTCCCACACTAAAATGACAGGTGTTTCAGTTTCATTGTCTAACCCCTGTAGTTTACCACCATCAGTGTATGAATGTGTGTATGAATGGGTGGATGTCTGTAAAGCACGTTGGAGTCCAAAGGGACTGAATAAAGTGCCATAAGAGTTCAGCATATTTACCACTCTTCTTTTGCATGATAGTGTTTATTCTCTGTTTTCCATCATCTTTCATAATGTAATGTAAGCGTGTTCTGTTTGTTAGAGGTCAGAGTGCAGTGCATAATCACTTGAAGCATTGAAACAAACATTTWTGACCTTTTTTTTACTTGATGAATCGTTTAAGCCCCAAGAGTCGTGATTTCCCTTTTTAACGTCCAATTTGGCCTTACATTGTAGATGTTTTACCAAACAAAATATGTTTTGTTGTGTATGTTTTCCTGTTGCTGTTAAGGAAATGCCTACAGCGCAAAGACGAATATTCAGAACATTTTGAAACCTAAAACTTTTGAAAGACGTAGGTGGACTTATTTTGATCTGTTTGACATAATAAGGGCCAAAGTCTTTCTGAGACTCCAGCTTCTGCTCTGAGTGACATCAACTCGTCAGAGCAGTTTTTTTTCTCTGCCTCTTTCTGACTGTAGAATGTCAAGCTACATGCATGTAAATGCTTATAAGAATCCATTTGTCTATTAATTATTAATTACTCATCACCCCCACCTACGCCCATGACTTTTTTCAGTTTTTTTCACAACGTTGTTTTGGTCGTAGAGCAGGGGTGTCAAACTCCAGTCCTCGAGGGCCGCTATCCTGCATGTTTTAGAGGTTTTCCAGCTCCAACACACCTGATTCAGTGATTGAATTAACTCTTCAAATTGGGCAGAAGCCTGTTAATTACCCAGCGATCAAAATCTGGTGTGTTGGAGCAAGAAAACCTCTAAAACATGCAGGATAGCGKCCCTCGAGGACAGGAGTTTGACACCCCTGTCGTAGAGTGTGGAAATGGCTGCAGTTACCACGCTCTATTGTTGCTCTGGTGTGAAACATAGTTCTTTAAAAGACTGAACTGAATGCAGATGTGAATATGTCCAAATATGAGTTGAGATGGACTAATTCAACCTTTACTAACTTGAGTGAAAATTCTGATGCAATTGATGGTCYTCTGTTGGCAGTGGCAGCTAATAGCTGCTCTTAGCTGTTTTTGCAAACACACTTTTAACACAGTTTTTCTCACTCTCCTACCTGTCACATATTGATGCTTGGTCCAGGTTCCCTCTGTGTCTGGTTTTGACACGTCAGGTAACCCCCTCGCGTCATTAATGGAGGCTTTTCCGGGTTCGCGGCGCCGCATAGGGTTTTAGGTCATAGTTCATGGTCCATGGTTAAAATTAAGGATCAGGATTACTGGTTAATTTTAGGTAGTGAGGTCAGGGATAGGATGTCTAGGGATAATAGAAGTTAAATTTAGGGTTTGGGATGATTTAGTTGTCGTACATTTTCTACACTTTTCAGAAATATGACAATGGGTTCCTCCTCTTTGTTCACATCTCATAAATAACTGACGCGAAGGGGTTACCCGCAGAGGGAACCTTGGACAAGCATCAATAAATGAAGAGTTGGGAATGAGAATGGGCTGTTTTTTCTTCTCTCTTCTTTTGGTGGATACTTCTACTAAAGCGAGTAGAATCTGTAAACTTCCAATCACTGACCTTCAATAAGGAAGAAGCTGTCGTGTCTCTGTTAGCCTGTTCTGGTCTCTGCTGTATGCGAACCACAGACAGTCAGGGTCCAAACTTTATGGTTCTTCCTTTAGCATTCCTTACGTAATAATCAGTAACTTTAAATAGTACTAAATTTTTGACAATTTTTATATTCAATTAGAACCTTTCATAGCCACATTGCGATGC